CATATTAGTTAGAACTTCTTTTTCGGGTTAAAAGTTGTCGTAGTCACCTGTAATACCACACTACATCACACTAAACCACACCAACCCCAACAGTCTACGACACTGCTATGCACTCTGCACTCGGCACTCGATACTCTAAAGTACCATGACTCGCCCTCGCTTTAGGCAGCATTATATTCATGTCATAAACACCTAATTCACCACACTTTACCCCCCCCCCCCCCACCACAGTCTACGGCACCATGATGAACTCGTGCGCCTTAAAACGCGAGTCAGAGCGCGCACTGGAGTTGTTCATGGAGATGCAGGAGAAACAGTTACCACTGTGTGAACACACCTTTACCTCGCTCATCCGGGCCACCTCAGTGCGTGCGGATATGCACGAGCGTACGTTTGAGCTCATGGCGTTGTACCTTGCTAGCGGACACTTGCCGTCGGAGATGCTGATGTGCAATGTGCTGTATAGTTGCGCTCAGGCGGGCAATGTGCGATCCGCGCATCAGATATGGAACAGGTGGGTGGGTGGGATGTGGATACAGGCTTCTTGTGTATATATTGATTGTGAGTGAAAAGTGTCAGCGTATGTTGAATATGGAACAGGTGGGTGGGTGGGATGTGGATACAGACTTCTTGTGTATATATTGATTGTGATTGAAAAGTGTCAGCGTATGTTCAATATGGAATAGGTGGGTGGGTGGGATATGATTCAGGTTCATGTATGTATAGTGATTGTGAGTGAACAACATCAGGCATCAGCGCATGTTGACTATGCAACAGGTGGGTGGGGGTATATGCTACAGGCTCATGTGTATTGTGATTGTGAGTGAACAGCAGCATAGTATACTGAATATGCAGCAGGCGGGTGGGTGGGATATGAATACAGGGTCATATGTATATTGATTGTGAGAGAGTTGCATCAGCGCATGTTGAAGAGGGATCAGGTAGGTGGCTGAGATATGGATACATTAACAGCGCTTTAGTGTATTTGAAATCGGTGGGTGGTCAGGATGTATAAACGTTAATGGTTTTTAGTGTGGGGTTTACAGCTGTGTGACTGGAATATAGATCCAGGGCATTGATTCTAAATCAAAGTGCGATAGATGTGTGACTGGTATATTGAGACATGGCAGTGGTGTGTATTGAAACTACGTTAAAGCGTTCATATTCAATACTTTTTGTAGCGATTTTGGTGTCTTGAACGCAGTGGCGTACGTTTGAATGTTGTACGTGAATATGGGATAGGTGTTGATTGGATATTGAAAGTGCATGTCTGTGACTACTATGCTTTTTCCTCATTTGAATCATTGCGCACATGTGTGGTTGTGTAGGTGGGTCACGTCAGTTTAAACTTTCTAATTGTTGTTTTGAGCCTTTGTAGTCGCTTGTGGGTGTCAGTGTACCTATAAGTATATGTATGCTCGAGACGATAGATATATGTATCGTAGGTATTACATGCTCAATCTTTGAGCTTTTGTATTCGACTTTTAAAACGGGTATATCGGTGGCGGTGGCTTCCATGTATACACCTATCCGTAAAAGTTTATATTAGCGCGCACAGACTTTGAGCGTGATTTATATCAGAATCAATTATAGCGGTATTCCGGTCGCTTTCGTTATCTGTCTGTATAAGTTTACAATAGCGCCCGCCCGGGCTTTGATTTTGATTTCTATCCGACTCAATTAAAATAAATATTTCGGTGGCTTTCATATATATATATATACTTATAAATATATATATATATATATATCAATCCGTAAACGTTTATAATAGCGCACCCGGGCCTGTCCAAGGTTTGCATACCTTGGATGCTGATTACGCACGCCTGTGTTTTAAACCTTATGCGGAATTTCCCATATAGGTTGTGCAGGAAGGGGCACGCCTTACACTCAAACATATCGAGAGTAGTCGAGGTTAGGGTGTTTGTATGTGCGTGTGCGTTCCGGGGGTATATCCATACATATCTGGCCGTGTTCTCTACCCACTTAATTGGCAATCATCCAAGTCTTAGTGGGTCCTTACATCATACGTTAAAACTAGCATACTGAGCAGATAGCTGTCTGCGTTTCTTCGTACATATGCGAGTGAGTGAGTGGAGTGCTGCGTTATTATTCTGCGTGTACGGGTACTTTTCATCTGTATTGCACAAATTGGTTTACTACGAATATACGTTGCCTACCAACCGGGACAGGCTTATATCCATGTTTGTATGTATTTGATTGGTCTCGATGTGATCTGCTCTCCATGGGATATGTCTAATGCGTATTTTTGGTCACTTGTTTCTATTCTGCAGATTGTCGGATGCTGATCCATACAATCTCTATGCCATGCAGCCGTCACGACGCATGTACACGCAGCTGTTGAAGGTGAGTGGAGTGACTAATAGTTTTAAACAGCCTGAACTGAAGCAGATTTTATGCATGTGCATAAGCCTCAATAATGATTCACACATGTTCCATATATATATATATATATATATAGTAATAGTACGCTTGCGTTCATCTGTAGGTGTACACCCGAGCCATTCGTCACGAGGCGCCCTTAGCACTCGCACGTGCGACGTCAGCAGAACACAGGATGCTCTCTTACAAAGATTTGGGTCGCATTGTCATGGAGGATGCCGGTGATCTGGGCGAGCTAGCCGAGCTCACACGTGAAGGTATTTGCTTTGCACATTACTTAAAGTATTGGTGTGACCTTCGTGGGATACTTTAAAATAATTTCATTTCACTCGCTATGATACAAATCCATATATATAATTTTGAGGCTCATTGGTTCTTCTGTAGAACGTCTGTAAGCTCACACGCGATGGTATGCAATATTTACGTACATGTATAATGCTGAGAGCGGTATAATATATATATATAGTAATAAGACCTTTATATGGGTGTTGGGTTGCAGACATTTGTGTATTCCTTCTGTATTTACGTTAAAGTATTAATCTTCATGCCTTTATTTACAATGAAAGCTTTGCAGGCATTGATACAATACAATGTATTCTATTTTTGCCTACAGATAAGGCATTGAAGGACGCCCAAGATCTATTGGAGAAGGAGAAGGTGAACGCAAGTAGCGGGTCGGCAGTCACAGATCCATCTGCTACACAACTATCACTCAATCCCAAGCCAAACGTCGCGAGTCTGCTCAAATTCGTCGATACCGCTGTATCTCGCATGAAAGTACGTACCTTGATATATACACACACATACACACACACATATGTATATATATATATTAAGTCCCTGGTTGCTATAGTGTGCTCGCTGATCTTTTTGAGCTGGTTATCGCGCTATCAAGAGTGGTGGAGTGTGTCAATACAACGACCGCATGTTACCGTGTTTTACTACGCGCCCGGTATAAATACGTATTCTCCAACACATACGTGCGTACCTTATCATGCAAAGCCATTGTTCACAGAATCGAAGTAGATTTGTCATGAGTGGTTGTAGTGGACTGTGTATGTTTAGTGATCTTTGCTCAATTGAACATGCACGCCAGGCTATGAGCTTGCGAGCGTGTGTGTGTGTATATATGTGTGTTGTCATTGCGCATACTTGTTCCCTCTCCACGGCTCTGCACACTCAAAACAGATGTCTTGGGTCCGATTCAAACAAACAAACAAATCGCTGTACTCCTGAACACACTACCCATAGCTGCGTGTTACAGTGACTGTGTGTGACTTAGGGTTGTTCAGCTGCACGCACTGTACTAGTATCTACCAAATTTCATCCAGGGTCACCTTGGTTCACCTCAAGTTTGCTTAGCTTAGCTCTCGCGCAGCCCTTCCATTGCACCCCGTGCCGAGCGGTGGTGTTTCTATGTCGCCTCCTTCACTCCTCTGTGACTCACTTTTGCTCACTCCCTACTCCAATTACACATTGGTGCTCCGTTACAGGCTGATGGATCTGGTCATGACATCTACTCGGTCAACGCCCTCATAGAGGCGTACTCATGGAGTTACCAATTGGACAAGTCACTGGACCTACTGCGAAATCTCGAGGTGTGTGTGTGACGAGAGAGTGCGAATGTATGTGTATGTATGCATGCATGTATGTATGTATGTATGTATGTGTGTGTGTGTGCATGTGTGTGTGTGTATGTATGCTTGTGTGTATGTTTATATCTGGATGTATGGAGTGATGCAACATACGGAGGTGGGGTGTGCCTGCAGCAGTGCGTACAGATTTATCGAAGTGAACATATATGCTTGTCCTGGATGATACTTATTTTGTACTTGTGCGTAGGCATTGATGTCACTCGTGTTGCTGCAGTTGTTGCTTCATGTGCCGGTGTGTTCGAAGATGTGTGTATTTGAACCTGATTGTGACCTGAACCCTATGCAGGGGGTTCGAATGGAAATCGGTTGCACGCACATACCATTTGGGGTGCTATGGTGTTGGGATCGTCTCTTCTCGCTGAAGAGTTTTTTCTCTATAAATCTGTCCAAGCGCTTCTGATCTCAGAAATGTGCTCAAATACTCTACAAAAGGATTGACCCCATTTTTTTTTTGCTACTCCGAGATCGAGCCAACCCATACATCCGGTCTTAGGGTTTAGGGACCATAGTATATACCCGCAAAGCGTAAATAGCCTGTGATGGTTTCTCCCAACCCACATACAGCTGTAATATTTCATTATACGTTGATGGTGCACCGTTGATCTACCACACCACCTGAGCTATGGTGCACTCGAGAACATACACACACCTGCGTTCACTGTAGATGGTCCGCAGTTGTTTTGCATCCCGTGTGCACTCTGTTTCCAATGCGTGGCCCTAGTCATCGTCTGAATCTCTTCTCATCGGCGTGTTTATAGGCATGGATGCTTGGCAACCGTATATATACGACACTCCCATATATTTATTGAGATATTTTTATATATTTATTGAGATATTTTTATATATTTATTTAGATATGTATATACATATATGTATATGCATATATATATATATATATATATATATATATATATATATATATATATATATATATTGTGTAGTGTAGGTATATGCATATATTTATATTCATGTATATATATATATGTATCTCTCTCTCTCTCTCTCTCTCTCTCTTAAATATAAATGTGTACGTAAATATATGTATATATTATGTTTTTGTATGTATGTATGTATTAATATTCATAGTAGTTGTTCATCTACATGTGTGTGTATCACAGAAATACTGTAGCTCACTGCATGTACGCTTATCGCACACAGGCCTTGACAGGTGTTAAACCAAACACCGAGTGCTATCGCGCGGTGATTTCCTGTGCTGTTGCTCTGAAGCGTATGAACACAGCCTTCGATCTCTACGAAGAGTATTTGGAAAAGAGGATAGCTCCTGTACCTTTCGGCCAAGACCCTTATGCAAAAGGTATGTACACTTGTCCAATCAGGGTTCAGGGTTTAAGATTTTTGTGGTTAGTCCACAGAATTCGTATTTGACAGACTCAGTTGCACTGTTTCTATTTGGTATTTGTTATCTGCTATACGGACGATAGTAATATGCGGAAGTGTACGGTCGTTGTCGAATCTCAGAGCGTTTCTAGTTTGAGTGGCGTCCCATGATTTCAAGCAACCCTCTGTACAGTGCAAACGAACAGACACTGCTTGGTACATATTGCCGCATCGAGATTGTTGCTGGCCTATCCTTGATAACATTCTTATTTAGAAGCTGCCAGGCATGGCTTGGTATGCCACGCCGTGTTATTGTTGTTACTGGCCTATCTTTGCACACAAGTTTCTTACAAACTCTGGGGTTATTTGCTATTGAATCCGTTCTAAGTCAGTTACTACTGCATAGACAACCATTGTGTACAAGCTAACCTTCTAAGTCAGTTACTACTGCATAGACAACCATTGTGTACAAGCTAACCTTCTAAGTCAGTTACTACTGCATAGACAACCATTGTGTACAAGCTAACCTGCTAGCAGAAGTACTTACCAGCTAACTAGTTGGCATTGCTTGGTATACCTTATCTCCAAGCCCTGGGACGTGAGCTTGATATAGCAAGCTGCAATGGGACTGTTGACTAGCGCGGCAATATGTATTCGGTGTGAGAAGTTATGGTAGGGATGTGTGAGAGTGGTGTGGGTCTCTGGGCCATAGTGCGAGAGTGTTGTAGCCAAGTATTTCCTTAGTGCACCTGAACCTAAAAGTATCGGACTCTCTGAGATGGCCGGACAATCAGGTGCTGTCAAGTGTGTGTGCTCACAGCGGCCCTTTCCTACGAAGTGGTTTGCCCTCTTCTGCACACATGGGTTGAAACCAACGCCCTTATATCCATTCTGGTTCCGAACCGATTGTAACTAGAATCCGAAAGGCTGTATGTATTCACATCACCTTTGCTCGCTTCATATCACAGATGCATGGGACAGAGTCCCATTCGTTTCGGCAGAGAAATCGGACACGACCTCTGGCTCGAACACGGACACTGGGGAGTCAACACTGGCCACCACCACGCAGTCCAACAAGAAACGTGTGGTGCAGAAAGGAGCCCATACAGATGTGCGGTGTACGCCTGGCTACTTGAAAATGCACCTATCGTTGATTAATGGATGCGCAGAGTATGTGGTGTGGGTTTGAATTGGCATCCTCCGTTGATGAGGACTTATTCTCGTACCTTACGCTTGATATTAGTCTGATATGCCTTAGGGTTATGGCTATTACAATCCTACGTTGATGAGGATTTATTTTATTATCGTACCTTACTGTACAGTGTAGGCCGCGCTTGGTATTAGTCGATTGACAGGCCTTATGGTTATGGCTATTCGTGTGTTCCATTACCTTATGAGTTTGATGTGTACTAGGCTTTTGCTTCGTGCCGATTGACACTTTATGGACAGGATTGTGTTCGGCTTATCATATCACATATAAACACCACGTCTGCTGTGTGCAATGGCAGCTTTATTGCTGGCAACGGCGCTGCTTTGCCCCTATGGTTGCCATAGTGACCGTTTAGCGGCCTGTAAGGAGGCGGAGTGCTGTATTGAAGAACATGCACGCAAACCTGGTTCTGATAATATAATTTAGTCTAGGATTACATTCATTGCGTAAGTGATAGAACATAACATTTAATATCTATTTATTTATTTTGCGTCCCCGACTATCCCCTATCTTCTACGTGCTGCGCTGCTGTACACGCCTGTCTCCATGTAGCACGGAGACATCAAACGCATCCTGCTCTTGTACATAGATAGCCCCACTCCGCACGTGAACACACACACTCACATCACCGATACGAATATATATGAGACTTTTGTCTGCTGTCATATCACTCAATCTGTACGCTTGGCTTCTGAATTGCAACTGTGGACAGGGCCGGTGCGTTCCAGAAAGCGGTGGAATTGGTGCAACACCTGTGCGACAATCGGGGAACCCCTAAACCTAACTATATGATGAAGCTCCGAAAACTCGCCTTTGAGATGGACGCCACCGAATACTGGGATCAGGCCAAGGCGTTGTGTCTCAAGAACGACCTGGATAACGACTGGGCTGTGACGGATATCCGATACAAGGACGCGGTAAGTCACGTGATAGTAACGGTATTGAGCGTAGTTGGTTTGTTGTAGAAGTGTGTATTAATCAATCGATCGCACGCTTCTTTGCGATGCGCACGTAGAGTTGATTAATGTGCTGGTCGTGTTAAATGCACGAATCTGTCGTGGATGTGTGCTGATGTAGGTATTAGTCTGTAGATCCCAGGGTCTATTGGATGTCTTTTTTTGCTATAACATTAGCTTGTACGTACGCTGTCATATAAATTGCGGTCGCCGTGTTATACACTTGTAGTGTATTTGTGTTGCCTGGAAAGATTCTGTGCAATCTGGTATACGCTATCACATTGGAAAAATCAAATTTTGCGTTTCAATGTAATATGTTTTCAGTGATGGCCTGTGTCCAGGAAATTCTGGGGATAAGCTTGTGCATACATTTTCTTAAAATATATCCCATGGACATCACTTCCGCATCATTCTATCAGTTTAAGAAATGGAAACCCCCGAAGCTGAAGTTCTACGAGAAACGCCAACAAATGCCGGGTCATTATTCCGACCTTGCATGGGAGCTGAATCCAAAGCCGGAAAAAGATCCAAACATCGAACCCCGAAGACAAAGAGAAAGAGTGGAAAGACGTTTGAATCCAAGCGTAGGCTCGAGTCCGTATGGAAGCAACGGCGGGAAATCGCGTGGAAACTCATCCACCAAATCCGGTCCGAGAGCGTACGGTAGGACTACTACCAAGGGGCCGTACGAGAAATCTGGCAGAAACGCGAAGGATAAGAAGGGCCGGTCATCGAGTGCGAAGGAGCGCAAGAAGCGGGACGCCAGCTTAACCGCCTATGAACGGACTGTGCGGTAGTATAGTGCTTAGGCACGAACTGACGTGCCTTCAAAGGGATGTTTGGACGTTTGAACGTTTACAGCTGTGCGTATGGAGGTAAGGGGAATCAGTTGCCTTTGGCAGAATGATGCAACTGCACATAGGAAACGTATAGTTGCCGACAGACGGCCGCACTGGTACACAAGGAAATCGACAACAGTGCAGGCGAGGCAATGGTGCCGGGCCGCACCCCTCCTATCTCAATCGTGCATAGTAAAAATTGATAAACAATACGTCTGTCGTTCACCCCAGTGAAACCCAAACTGAAGTTGCATCGACAAATTGCTTCGTGCATGAAATGAAGCCAGCACCAAGACCCGTTATCTGGGATTACGAACGAGCCGGATTTACTCGTGAGCGGTGCGGCTGATGTGGCGTTCTCGGCTTTTTGTTTGTCACGGTGTAGATTGGTTATAGACTTACCCCGCAGACTGGCACTCTAGAGATCGAAGAACACGCGAGGATTCTGCTGTATCTTTGGATTGAGTGGAGTACGCGGTATTCGGTCGGATTACAAACCATCTTCAGCATGTTGACGGGACTGCCGGATGCTGGTCACGGGCAACAGTACGTTCGCTCTGTATATAGAGAGGTAGATGGAGCCACCTTATGACTATCACAAGCGGAGTTTTCTAATCGTCTCCTGAGCCCTGAGGAGGTATCGAGAATTCAACCGTGAGTTTCATGCCATACCCTATTCGGATTTGATCATATTTGACGTGCCCGCCTTTCCAGGCCATCGTCGAGGAACGAACGATAGAGAAGTGTTATGATATGGACACTCGGGGCTGGGATGAAAAAAACAACAACATTCAACTGCTGGACTAAATTGAAAGTAGCTTTTGTCAAACTTTCCTAAATGTGATTAAAATAATTAAAGAAAAGGATCAGAGACTGGAGAGAACGTATGAATTTTTTTTTTTAAATGTAGTCACTTCAACTTGAGAGATATCTCGACAATCTTATGGAATTTTATTTGGAAGTTATTTATATATTGACATGTTTTACCCAATGTTAGCCCCCTTTAAGAATTTTCCTGCTAGAGAGACTGTAGAAGGCGGCAGCGGGCAGCCAGCACAATAGGCCCACGTCATGGGTAAACGCGGCAAAGGCTCATATTACATTTAGTCACCTTGGTAAGTTTGGTTATTTGTGTTAATGGTTTGAGACTTTGGAAGTTTGAGCCTTGATGAGGGACGTCTGCCAGAGCCCAGAGACCGTGAGACGAGGGTTAAAAATAAACCGAGTTTTTCGTGAGGGACTGGGGTACTGGGCTCCCGGAGGCGGGGAAGGGGGGGTGGCTTTTTTTGTATATGTTTTTGACTCTCTCAGTCATTGAGGGTTGACAGCACTGACTAAATACACCGGACTCTTGAGGCTTCGCCACGCTATTTACTATACTCGCTATATATAAAAAATAAAAGAACTCGAGGAGGTGAGTACAAAGAAATTTCGAATCCACTTTTATTTCAAAATACAACCGCAGTAGCGGCTTTTCTGCGGTTGTAAATACTAATTACATATGTCAGACATTAAAAAGTTAAAAAACAAATAAGACAACAAAACGATTAAACGAGATGTCCAAGATTGACTCGTTTCCGGCTGAATATGTTAATAAAACAAATAGCATATGTAGAGTCCCGAAAACGCGGCAACGAGAGAGCGATATGAGATGCACTTTCATATAATAGGCAATTAGCAATTGGCAACTGGCAGAGTACTATAAAAAACACTTTACGGTAAGTTGCGAAGTTCTTGACTTCTTATGTATCGGTATGAAGCACACAGAACTATTGAGCACACCTATTAAGTTTGAAGAATGCTGTTTTGATCTCTAAAAGGATATATATGGTAGCGAGGAAGAATAAGCGAACAATCCTTCATCTCGATAGGGACGAACGATGAATAAAAAACTATGGAAATCGGAAATTGGAATGATTAACGCTGAGATCCACAAAGTCACAAACCCTATGTATGTAAACGGTGTATGTCGAGCGGCATCATCCCATGATCACGGGCAACTAACATTGGTATAAATGGAAGTGCAGAAGTCAATCACAAAGCACACAAAATTTTGACAACCTTATAGTATCCTGGCACTTTTCATTATGCGTAAGGCACTGGAAATAATTCTCATTGCCATGGTTTCGGCCACAATGGCACAGCCTACCGCTGTCGATTCATCAGCCAACGTGACCGAGCTGCTGTCAAGCATGACACTTGAGGAGAAAGTAGGACAGATGACCCAGATTAACCTCGAGATGTTCTTCAATCACGAAACAATGGCTCTCGATGAGGAGAAGCTCGCATTCTACGCTGGTAGAGGTGTCGGCTCGTACTTGCAATCCCCGTATGCAGGTGGGATACAATCTGACAATACCACGGGATGGAATGCATCGCAATGGCGTGAAGTGATGAGCCATATACAAACAGCTACTCTCAATGCCTCTCGACTAGATATACCAATGATCTTTGGTATTGAGAACGTGCACGACGGAACCTACTACAGGGCTCCACACTCTTTGGCCAGCAAATCAGTGCGTCTGCGTCGTTCAATTTAGAACTGGTTGAGAAGATGGGTGAGGTCACTGGTAAGGATACTGCTGGGGCCGGTATCCCATGTACTTTTGGACCCATTAGTGATATTGCTGCGGACCCACGTTGTCCACGTTTCTACGAGTCTTTTGGTGAGGATCCTTTCGTGAACAAGATGATGTCAGTGGCCATCACCAAAGGTATTCAGGCGAACGGAGATGTAGCTGCGTGCTTGAAGCACTTCATTAGCTATGGTGCTGCTAGCAATGGCAAAGATTATGCCAATTCTCGTATCAGCGACTATGAGCTGTTCAACTATCATGCTGAACCATTCCGTGCAGCGGTGGTAGATGCTCAAGCCAAATCGGCAATGATAGGTTTCAATTCTATCAATGGAGTGCCAGTGACTGCCTCTATGGAAATGACTGTTGATCTTCTAAGAAATGACATGGGCTTTGATGGTATGCTTGTCATTGACTACAACGAGGTCTACAACCTCAAAGATCGCCACAGAATAGCAACCAGCAAGGAGCAATCCGTGGAGATTGCCACTAATCAGACCTCCATGGACTTGAATATGGTACCCAATTCCGATGATTTTATTGACATTCGTATCCAGTTGGTGAACGAAGGGGAATTTAGCCAAGAACGTATTGATGAATCTGTTGAGCGGATTTTAGAGCTGAAGTTTGACCTTAGGATGTTTGACACGCCCGTACCAGGTGAAGAATTGGCATTGGCTGTCGGTCAGCAGTCGGATCAAGACCTTGCTTTGGAGTTGGCGCGTGAGTCAGTCGTTCTGGTTAAGAACAACAACTCGGTACTTCCGATTGCTAAGGAGGCAAATGTGCTCGTCACAGGACCTACAGCCGATAATATGGGCTTCATGTGCGGTGGATGGACTGTTTTGTGGCAGGGCTATGAAGACAGCGTGCCATATGCGGACTATGACACTATTCTAACTGCTATGCAAGCTGACAATAGATCAGTGCAAGGTCATGTAGGTGTCAACATAGACGGTTCCCAGGCTGACGACTATGATGCATCGATTGAAGCCGCAAAGTCCTCTGAATACACCATTGTGGTAGCCGGTGAGCACTCGTACACGGAAAAACCTGGAGATATCAACGATCTTTCTTTACCTATCGGACAACATGAGTATATTAAGGCACTCGCTGCTACCGGCACTAAGGTTGTTCTGGTGCTAGTTGAGGGCCGTCCTCGCTTGCTAGATGGTGTAGCAGATGTTGTAGACGCCATGCTAGTGGCTATGCTACCATGCACGTCGGGCGGTGTCGCTATTTCTGAGATAATCTATGGCGATGTTAATCCAAATGGAAAACTACCCTTCAGCTACCCAAAACATGCCGGCAATATCCCACTCGTGTACTACCACTTGCCCTCCGAGATCTGCACCTCGGAAGCCAACAAGTTCGAAGTTGTCGACTGCGAAATAGAGTGTAAATTCGGACACGGTATGGGATACTCGACCTTTGAGTACGCCGATTTGATGGTGGGCGACATGGTAAATGGCAACGTCAGCGTATCCGTAAACGTAACAAACACTGGTGATCGCGCCGGCAAGGAAACAGTTATGTTGTTCCTTAGCCAGGAATACCGCCAGTCCGCCGAGCCCGAGGTCAAGATGCTCAAGGCGTTTGAGAAGATCAATCTTGAAGCTGGTGCCAGCTAAACTGTGGAATTTCTCCTTGATTCGAGTGCCTACTCGTACTATTCACCACAGATTGGTCAAGGGTGCAAGCCTGTAGCTGACATTGGGGCCACCATTAAGGTGCTTGTCATAGCCGACACTGACTGTGACAACGATGCTGTCAACCCCAATCAAACCAACGAATCTGCATTCCAGTCGCGCCGCCGTCGCCAAGAAGGCGAAGCTGAGGTTAATCCCATGTGCGGTGCATTTACAATCGTTTTGGCTTTAGTATACCATCAGATATACTGCACGTTTTTTAATACTGTACCTGAACCCAGTTAATAAATATCTAGAAGCATAAACAGATTCTAAAGGCGGATTGCAACTATACAGCGTCGACAGTGATAAGAAGTACGAAAGTATATGTTATATGGAATTTTAAAAGTTCATACAAACCGTGACATGTTTACAGAAATATAAATCTCATGCAGGTCTACTGACGAACCGTTTAAGTGTTCAACCAGACAGTAATTTATCGAAAACTATACGCAAGTCAATATTTCGTTTAAATATGCATCACTGTTTAAAAGAAATTCTTTAGCGTATGTACTCCACAACATCATGCCTTGAATAAATGTATCGCTGATTTTGATACAGTGAAGTACGGTCGTAACACTAATGGCAAAAATATCAGCCGAGTCAAAAACTTGGTATTGATGTCATCTCACTACAACTGTTAGACACATAGCTTAGATGGGTAGCACACATGTCACACACAATAGTCATATATTGCGACTTTTCTTTGTCATCGATCTGACATTCCGGCGCGTGAACAGTAGAACGACAATATAATATATGATAATTTAACTTTAAATGATGCCTTAAGAAAATGACTACTTTGTGTTTTACACACCATGCCTGTGAGAAGATAAAACAAAAACATCTTAAGAACAATAAGCTAGATTTTTGCGCATGATTTTGTCACATTGACTTTAATATTAATTGTAATATTGTATGTAGACTGATTCGTAATCACAGCTGTATCTGCATTTGGATTCCATTCATATTCCCTCTGTCTGACAGGATGGATCAGGCTTTAATCAGCCGTTATCTAAACAAGAACTTCACGTCTGCTCTACATCCACCTCAATATAGCGAAAGGTTATGATCATTGATTCAACCCTAGGCCAACCTCGCTCATTTGTACAACTGAGTATACACACTAAATTGTGCGAATTATGAAGCAAAATACCTGTCCATGACTCCGGCGAAGCCGACTCAGCTTACATTGGTTTGTACAAGCATGTCAAAAATGCAACCAATGTGATACAATATACATGTTGACGCTGAAGTAAGTGATTTGTTTTGAATTCTAGCGAAATGGCAGACGTGCCATTCCACAGCAACTTAAGATCACCACAAAGTCATACCAAGTCTTTTTTGGTTTAACGTTCTTAACAAGCTCACTACAAGCACATCAGTGTATAAAGATGGAGGCACAAGCAGTCACACCATGGGCATGAGACACAACATATATATATATATACGTTTAAAATATGTATGTAGACATGTATGTATGAAAGTTTGTACGTAAATAAGTATGTATGTTTTCTGTATGCCTAAAGTATGC